TTTTCTGTTCGGTCTTGCCGGGTGCACGTGCTGGTTGAATGTCTCAGCTGCTGCTTTTGGAAGCCGGGAGGTTACGATTTGGCTCCTCTTCCTCTGCTGGAACCGGAGGGGACTCGCTGAATCCAAGACCGTTTTCAGCCTCGTTCGGCGGTGCCGGCTCTTGCTCAGCCCAGGCAGCCCTGTGTGCGCGATGCTCGGCAGCCGAGGAGGTCTGGGAGCGCAGAACCGCAGAATCGTTTCGGTTGGAAAAGACCTTTAAGATAATCGAGTCCAACCGTAATGTGGAGCACCGAGCCCTCAGCGGGGTGCAGGCAGCAGCAGGCAGCACAGGCTCACGCTGCCGGCTTCGGGGCAGCCGCACGAGTCCCCAGCCGTCCCCCCCGGGACACCGACACCTCCGCACCCAGCTCCCCCCTCGCTGCCGCCAGCTTTGCAGCCGGTTGAGGAATTTTCCACAGTCCTTGAGCCGGGGACCTCGAGGGTTTCGCTCCACCGCGTCACTGCGGCTTCGTAAGAGGTCCTGCCCTCCCCTGCCCCACCCCAGCGCCTGCCTTGGCACCGGGGCCCGTTGCCGGACCAGCAGCATCGGCGGGGACCGGCGCTCACCGCAGGACGGGCGGTTTGCCGCAGCGGCCGTGCCCCGGCCGGAGCCAGAGCGGTTTTTCCCCCCGTCCTTGCCCAGGGCTGCCGGGCCGGGGTGGGCGAGCGGTGCGAGCGCCGGGCCTGCGTCCGCTCCGGGCGTTTCTTTTGACAGAGCACAAGAAAGCGGCCCCAAGTAACACTTATTTTTTAACTCATTTCCAGCCCTGCTCTTTCTTTTGTTAAATAACCATAAATTAATCTCTGTAAGCACAGAGGGACCTTTAATTAGCCGTGTAAAGCAAGAAAAGTCCCATACTCTCTTCTGACCCCAGCGCTGGGAGGCTCGGGAGCCTGCCGGAGTAAAGTTTTCCTCCCGGCCACGTCCGCGGGTGCAGGCACCCCGCGGGTCCCACCTTCTCGGGGTGCTGGTCAGACTGGCGTGGCGGCGCGCGGGCCGAGCAGCGGTGAGGCTGCCCGGGCTGTAACGCACCCATGGCTTTTTTACGCCGTCGTTTGCGTACGCGGAGCTGGGCACGGCAGCCCCGGCCTTTCGGCGGTACGACTTCGCGCGGAGGGAGGCAAAAAGCAACCGCAGATGTGATTTTTCTGCCGTCGCACGTCCAGAGCGCTGCTGTTCTCCCTCAGAGAGCGTGTTTGTAAATACATTTTAAAAAGAAGAGGAAAAAAAAAAAAGCTTGTTTGCAACTGGGCTGCTGCGCTGGTTCTTCCCACGGGCTCACCGCGGCGCTGGGTGCGAGTTCCCAGTTCCCTTCCCGGGGGGGGGGGGGGGGTGGGCCCCCCCCCGCCCCCCTTGGGGCTTTGGGGGCCCG